CAGGGCGGTGAACAGGCACATTAATAAAACAGCAATACCATAATATTTAAAAATATTCAAAACTAATTAAATTATTTGTCCTGTCCTAAAACCCACTATAATAATATAAAATTATACCCAATTTAAAATTGTAAAGTTTCAGATTTATGCCAGACCGGCCTCTTGGAACAGATAGGTCTTTAGGGCTCGGCGGAAGAGGTGTATGTCCCCCATTGTACGGAGGTCAGGGGGCAGCTCATTCCATAGGGTAGGAGCTGCCACAGAGAAGGCTCTCCCCCTGGGGGTCACCAGCCGGCATTGTCCAGCCGACGGCACCCTGAGGAGGCCTAATCTGTGGGAGCGGACTGGTCGAAGGGAGGTATGTGGCAGAAGGCGGTCCTGCAGATAACCTGGTCCACTGCCATGGAGCGCTCTAAAGATGGTCACCAACACCTTGAAGCGCACCCGGAAGGCCACAGGCAACCAGTGCAGCCCGTGCAGGAGAGGTGTCACATGGGTGCTCCTAGGAGCCCCAAAAATCCCCTGCGCAGCCGCATTCTGGACTATAGAAAGAGTGCAGAGGACCAACCAGACTCAACGTGGGGTCCTCAATGGAACTGCATCTATATGGAGGGAAGTATGCAATGGGCTACCCCAAGGCTCTGTTTTAGGCCCAGTACTCTTTAACATCTTCATCAATGATTTGGATGAGGAGATAGGTGGGAAACTCATCTTGTATCTTCTGACACCAAGCTAGCAGGAACATTGGGCCCTATCTAACAAAATGAAATTCAATGGTGAGAAAAGTAAGGTTCTACCGTATAGTATAGGAGGTACCTTGCTCAATAGTAGTAACTGTGAGAGGGACCTCGGAGTCCTAGTGGACAATCATTTAAATATGAGCCAGCCGTGTGCTGCAGCTGCCAAAAAAGCCAACACGGTCCTGGGCTGTATTAACAGAGGGATAGAATCAAGATCACATGAAGTGTTAATACCACTTTACAATGCCTTGGTAAGGCCACACTTAGAATACGGCATCCAGTTTTGGTCACCACGATGTAAAAAAGATGTTGAGACTATAGAAAGAGTGCAGAGAAGAGCAACAAAGATGATCAGGGGACTACAACATATGAAATATGGTTGCAGAAATTGGGTATGTTTAGTTTAATGAAAAGAAAGTGACAGTTTTCCAATATCTAAGAGCCCTGGTAGAGCAGTGGTTAGACTTCCTATTCTCATTGGCTCAAGGTTGACTCAGCCTTCCATCCTTCTGAGGTCGGTAAATTGAGGATTGTTGGGGGGCAAATAGGCTGTCTCTGTAAACTGCTTAGACAGAGCTGTAAAGCTCTGTGAAGCGGTATATAAGTCTAAGTGCTATTGCTATCTAAAGGGCTGCCACAAAGAAGAGGGGGTCAACCTGTTCTCCAAAGCACCAGAGGGCAGGAGAAGAAGCAACGGATGAAAACTAACTGAGGAAAGAAGCAACTTAGAATTTAAGGAGAAATTTCCTGACTGTTAGAACAATTAATCCGTGGAACAACTTACCTTCAGAAGCGGTGAATGCTCCAACACTGGAGGTTTTTAAAGAAGAGATCAGACAACCCTTTGTCTGAAATGCTATAGGGTCTCCTGCCTGAGCAGGGGGTTGGACTACAAGACCTCCAAGGTCCCTTCCAACTTTGTTATTCTGTTAAATAGAGTATAGATACAGGAACTTATAGATTACAGCTATTTCTATTTGTATTTAAAGTTGTAGTAGTTTTGTGCAGTGGTCATTATGCAAACACCATGGTGGCAGTTTTGCCAAAAAACAGAAGTAAGTTCTGGTTTTCAGCAAAACCGTCATAAAAGGCAGTCACATGACCACAGGACTCTGAAAATGGACATAAATGCACCTTTGCTGCCAAGTGCCCAAAGTAGGGGGGGGTCTGACCATAGTAACTTTGGATCTGGGTCATAAGTTCCCATTTTCAGGTAGTTTGCAACTTTGAATGATCACTAAGTGACCGATCATAAATTGTGGACTACGTGTACCATTAAAAAAAAAACCCTCTTAACACGTTGAAACTATAGATTGTAGTTTGCAGAAGCTACAGAGGCTAAGTTGTTGTCATGTACTGTACATCTACTTGTTTCCTTGTGCTTCTCTTTGGCCGTAACAGGAAGGAGCCTTGGGTACGGAATAGGACAACTCACTGCAGCCAACTTGTTGCGAGACAGTTCAAGAACTCAATTTAATTCTTTAAAATAATTTTAAAAATATTTTAATTTTTGTCATTCACATTTCACTTTGCCCCTTCTTTGGCATCCTTTCTTTAATGATTCTATTCCACCATTTCTTCGATATTAGGGTAGATCTTATCCTGTAGCGAGTTGGCCGTGGTGAGTTGTCTTAGCTCAGGGGTGGGGAACCTTAGCTCTTTTATGACTCGTGGACTTCAACTCCCAGAATTCCTGAGCCTGCATGGCTCAGCTTGGAAACCTCTCCCTTTCCCCTCAGCGTGGCAAGCTCAGGAATTCTGGGAGTTGAAGTCCACCAGTCATAAAGCGGCCTAGGCCTAGGCCAGAGCTAGGCAACTTTGGCTTTTTTATGACTGGTGGACTTCAACTCCCAGAATTCCTGAGCCAACATGACTCAGCTTGGAAACCTCTCCCTTTCCCCTCAGCGTGGCTGGCTCAGGAATTCTGGGAGTTGAAGTCCACCAGTCATAAAGCGGCTTAGGCCTAGGGCAGGAGTAGGCAACCTTGGCTCTTTTATGACTCATGGACTTCAACTCCCAGAATTCCTGAGCCAGCATGGCTCAGCTTGAAAACCTCTCCCTTTCCCCTCAGCATGGTTGCCTACCCCTGTCCTAGACCCTCTTTGGTATGTATGGGAAAGAGCAGACGAGTCGTTTGAGTAAATAGAGTGCAAGGGAAATGAAGAACAAAAGGGTTGCAAGAAGCTTCAGATTGCCATCCTTCTGCCTCACAGACTGCAATTATTCGTGGAAACTATAATGTCATGCTTATGGGGCTATTTTTAAAGTATGGATCTCACGTTGATTCCTCAGGGATTGTATCTTCAAACGGTCACAACTGGAGGCAGCAGAGACGTTTTACCCTCACTGCTCTACGCACGTTGGGAGTGGGGAAGAAAGACATGGAGAGTAAAATACAACAGGTGACCCATCGGCTGGTGGAGACCTTTGCACGCACAAAGGGTAGGAGTACTTTGAGGATATGGAGACTGGGAAGAAATTGCATGACTCAGGGTTTTTTTGTTTTTGTTTTGTGTGTGTGTGTGTGTGTGTTTTCCAATCCAATCCTTTTCATCCATCCATTCATTCAATGTAGGCATCACCTGTTGCCATATCAGCTTTGGGTAGCTCACAAAAGGAAATAAAATGGCAAATATATAATCAAACTAAAAATATGAAATGTGGATCCAGCTCACGTCAACACAAAACACATATTGGTCGTTCAGTAAAGGATTCCAACCAACTTAGCAGGGTGGATCTTTAAAGCCTTCTGGAGCACCCAGAGAATGGGGCTACCTGGATTTCAAGGGGAGCCTCATTCTAGAAGGCAGGTGCAAAGAAGGCACATTTCCAGGGTCCTGGTAGGTGGTCCTGCTTAACTGAAAAACCCAGAGCATCTCAACCACGCTGGATAAAATTGGCCTGTCAGACAAACCCAGGAGATAGGCAGTCCCTCACCTAACCAATCCCTCGGCCACGTAGCTTATATCCAGCACCCTGAATCATACCTGGAAGCAAATGGATAGTTCAGTTTGCAAACAGAGGTGTCTGTAGGCGTCCTGAGACATGTCCAGGACTGAGTGTGCAGCTGAATTGTGGACCAACTGAAGCGTCTGGGTGGGGTTCAAGGGCAGCCCCACATAGAACAGATTGTACTAATCAGGCTGTGGGATGACCAGAGTATGGATGACTATCAGAAGGTGTAAGAAGGTCTAAGAAAAGGTGTAACCAGAACACCAGTGGAAGCTTTGCGAAGACCTTCCAGGAGACAGCTGCTACCTGTTCCTTGAGTGTCCTGGATGTCCAACAATTTACACCCTATTTTTGCCTAGGGAAGTGCTACCCCATCCAAGGTAAAGGTGGTGTATCTCTAGATCTAAGTGACCCTAACGTCCACAGCCAGGTGGACTTAATATCATTGAGTTGGAAATAGTTCCTCCCCATCCAAGCCTACACAGCCTCCCCAAACTAGGACAAATCTCAACAACCTCATCTGGCCAATACCGCGATACCAAACCCCAAACTCACCCAGTGTAGATGTTGCATATAGGGTGGGAGAGAGAGTTGAGCTGTGAGACACTCCAGAGGGCAGGGTTCTACTCCTCCAAGCTGGAACGCTGTTAAGATGATTATCTAATAATTTCATTTACAGGGCAGCCAATTGACCCTTTACCATTCGTCGTGAGTTCAGTCTGTAATGTGATTTGCCTTCTGACTTTGGGATACTGCTTTTCTCCTGAAGACACAAAGTTCCAGATGATATTAGAAGACATTAGTAATTATACAAACTTTGGGGGCTCTGCCTTCTTATTGGTGAGTAATCATTTTCTTCTTGAGTCCCTTAGAACTTTCTAAGTCTCTTATTGGCACTCTGAAAAACCACTGTACTAGAGTGGCATCTACATCTAGGCAAGTAGACTAAACTTTTAATTTTAATTCCAAGTTTAAAGCTAATACTATTTGTTCTTGGGAGGAAAAATCCCCAATGTTTGCTCCACATTGCTCGGCTTCAGAGCTGCTTTCCAGAGACCATTCCTCCTTTCCCACTAAACATTGGATGTAGGGATACAGTGGGAAGATGCTTTGGAAACCACATAGAAATTTCTCTGTTTTGTGACAGAGAATGGGGGTGGAAGGTTACGGTTGAAGGTTGAACCTCAAGAAAAGCAGATTGAAGTTCACCTTCTGATGCTATATGGAAGCTCATTGGAGGATTTTAGTTCAGCCTCTGGTTGATTGGTTAGTGTGGGGGAAAACGGGAGGAGGGACTGCTAGGGATGTCCACTTAAACTCCTGAGGAAAAAAAGAGCATAAAAAGACTGGCACAGGGAAATAAAGAAACAGTTCTAAGAAGACATAAAGCAGAGTTTCAGAAGGAAAACGTATTCTCTTATTCTCAGAAAGATATTATGGCCAAAGTCAGAACCGAGGGGTTTTGGAGATCCGCTCCAAATTTTGAACAGAAGTTAGGGAAAAGTTTACCAGTGAGAACGGTACCAGCCTATCCTAAATTCTGTGAAGCCTTGATGAAACCACCCTTCTAGATCAATTAGTGATCTGGGTGGCCCTTAAAGTCTACTTCCAAATTGTAGGAGTTAAACTACGAGGACGTAGGTGTAACTACAACACGAGTCAATAATAATAATAATAATAATAATAATAATAATAATAATAATAATAATAATAATAATAATAATAATAATAATAATAAAGTTGGAAGGGACCTTGGAGGTCATCGAGTCCAACCCCCTGCTCAGGCAGGAACCCTACACCATTTCAGACAAATGGCTGTCCAGTCTCTTCTTAAAAACTTCCAGTGTTGGAGTATTCACCGCTTCTGGAGGCAGGTTGTTCCACTGGTTAATTGTTCTCACTGTCAGGAAGTTTCTCCTTAGTTCTAGGTTGCTTCTCCCCTTGATCAGTTTCCATCCGTTGCTTCTCGTCCTGCCTTCAGGCGCCTTGGAGAATAGCTTGACTCCCTCTTCTTTGTGGCAGCCCTTGAGAGTGATATGTTACTTTCAAACTCCTTGCCTTCCCAGAGGTTCTTCCTGTTACTTCTGCCATTCAACATTCAAAGCAGTACTGCAGGGGTCCCCAACCCCCGGTCTGTGGACTGGTACCGGGCCGCAGCATACCAGCAACTGGGCTGAACAAATAAGCAAAGCCCCATCCGCGGGATGCAGGCAGCACACAAAACCATGCCCCCTCCGGTCCGCAGAAAAACCTCTCTCCATGTAACCGGTCCCTGGTGCCCAAAAGATTGGGGACCTCCGCAGTAGTGGATAAAAAAATTAAGATCACGACAAGAATGTTTTTCTGGCATCTTGTAGTTTTCTTGGTTACGCAGCCCAGGTCGAGAAGCCCTAATACAGGTTGTCTTCAACAGAAGACCGTCATTCAGCCCAAAATTTCTGTTGTTAAGCGAGAGAGTTGTTAAATGAGTTTTGCCCCATTTTATGACCTTTCTTGCCCAAGTTGTTAAGTGAGTCGCCACAGTTAAGTTAGTCACACCGTTCTTTCCCACTGACTTTGCTTCTCAGAAGGCTGCAAAAGGGGATCCCCTGACACCCCCTCCCCCGGGGACACTGCGACCATCATACAATGCATTCAGAAAGTATGCAGGCCCCCCTTCACTTTTGATCATGTGATCACAGGGATGCTGCAGCAGTTGTATGTGTGAACCACAGTCACAAGTCACTTTTTTTCAGTGTTGTTGTAACTTTGAACAGTCACTAAATGAACAGTTATAAGTCGAGGACTACCTGTATTACCTAACCCATCAGGGAGATGATAGGAGTGTGTTTTTACTTCCTACATAGCTCAATGATTTGTTTCCATGGTTAATGGAACATCTCCCAGGACCTCATCAGAAGATACAAGAGTCCATGGAGAAAGGTTTATTAATTATAAAGGAAGAGGCAGAGAAACGCAGCCAAGATTTGGCCCAGCGTCAGCCAAAGGATATCCTAGATCTGTATCTACTCGAGATAGAAAAGGTAAAGATTCTTCTGGAAATTTTAGTCTTGCCTGCTGGGATACACAGGCATGTCAAGAGGGGTTGTTGTTTTTTTTGAGCCTTTGAGAATAATCCAGTCAGAGCTAAACTGGAGGTGTTCTAAACTAGAAACTTTTCAAATTCAAGGGTGATCTGTTTATAAATCTTTATTAAAAGTCTTAACACATATGATCAATTGAAGTTACTTTGGTCTCATGGCTTCTTGTTGTAAATTAATTAAAAGATAAGAACCAAATATTCAAAACACCCAGAACCAGCTGTTTAATGTCATGACATGAGGGTAGCACAACGATCAGACAATCTTCAGTGTGACCCTGTAGATGTTAAATACACATTCTGTTTAAGAATGGAACATTACAGAGAATTCCAGAACATTCTACGTCTAACCTGCTTCAGTGATTTCCTGAAATTAATCTTTCACCTGGAAGTAATTCTTGGTGTGCCACATGGGTTTTACTGCTGAAATGACAATCCTGTGTCATTTCGAACACCATGAACTACTTCTAGTGTAGAACTCACTTCAAGAAAATTAGACTTTATTTTAGATCACAACAGCCAGATCAGTAAGGTTCAGAGAAAAAGTGGGAAGTTCCAGACTTATAATAATAATAATAAAGTTGGAAGGGACTTTGGAGGTCATCGAGTCCAACCCCCTGCTCAGGCAGGAAACCCTACACCATTTCGGAAAAATGGCTGTCCAGTCTCTTCTTAAAAACTTCCAGTGTTGGAGCATTCACCGCTTCTGGAGGCAGGTTGTTCCACTGGTTAATTGTTCTCACTGTCAGGAAGTTTCTCCTTAGTTCGTGGTTGCTTCTCTCCTTGATCAGTTTCCATCCGTTGCTTCTTGTCCTGCCTTCAGGCGCCTTGGAGAATAGCTTGCCTCCCTCTTCTTTGTGGGTGACCAAAACTGGATGCAATATTCCTTCTTTGAAATGGTCCATTCCCTGAAAAAAAAAAGATTTTGCATGTACCAAATTCTAATTAAAAGAGTCAGTTCAGTGCAGTGGTTAAAGCGTAAGATTAGAAACCAGGAAACGGTAAGTCCCACTTTAGAAACAAAGCCAGCTGGGTGATTTTGTGCCAGCCGTTCTGTTTCAGATCTAGGAAGCAGGCAATGGCAAACCACTTCTGAAATCTTGCCAAGAAAACTGCAGGGACTTGTCAAGAAGTCACCAAGAGTCAAGATTAACTCGAAGGTACCCAAGTAATAAATAATTCTAACTGAAATCTCCCCCTTTGTTAGAAACAAAGTGAACCCAACTCTACCTTTGATAATGGAAACATGACTCAAAGCATTCTGGAATTGTTTTTTGCCGGGACAGAAACAACAGCAAGTTTTCTGCAGTGGGCTTTGTTCCTCATGATGGTATATCCAGATATCCAAGGTAAGAAAATAGGATAGTTCTGGCTCATCTAGGAAATAAGACTGAATAAATCATTATAGAGATGAATGTCCCTTGTGCCCAGCTTCACCCTGAAGGATGCATCGTTACATCTGCCATGGAAATCCCCAATTCTAGATCTCCCCTCCCATTTTTCTGAAGATCTTGATGAGATGATATCAGTAGCACTTAGACTTACATATCGCTTCACACTGCTTTACAGCATTCTCTAAGCGGTTTACAGGGTCAGCCTATTGCTGCCAACAATCTGGTTCCTCGTTTTGTCAACCTCGGAAGGATGGAAGGATGGGTCAACCTTGAGCCAGTGAGAATCAAACTGCCAAACTGCTGGCAGCTGGCCATCAGCAAAAGTAGCCTGCAGTAACTGCATTCGAACCACTGTGCCACCCCGCCTCTTGATGATCATGGACGGAAGAATCTTATGCATCTTCTTTTCTCAGTACTATTTAAGAAAGTCATACATGGTGACAATCATCCAGCTGATCTTAGATCAGACCCGGAGCTTCAATAAAAAGTCCTTTTCTAACAGTCAAACACCACGATCCCAAATCCTTAATCTCTCCCTACACCAACACCAAACAGCACCAGTTCGATTGGAGTAACACTCATTGGCCATACTACCCCCGCCATGCTCGTGAGTTTGTCAAAGCCTGGCACCCCACAAGCAATTCCATTCACAGACACATCGACCTACAATCAGGGGTTTGTGTTTCCTCCCACCTATGAACCGGGGCCTGAGGCATTTCAGGTCGTGAATGTTGACACGTGTGGCACCCATGTACCTGGGCCTCAATGGCCTTGTCAATGCCAGGCCACCACAAATGACTACGCGTAAGCGCCTTCATCCTGACTATCCCAGGGTGTCCCTCATGCAGAGAAATTAAGATTCTAGACCTCAATGATGCTGGAATGACAACCCTGCTACCCCATAACAGGCAACCCTTGAAAGTGGAAAACTCAGGCTTTTTGTGCCAGAAGCTTTGGGACTCAGTATCTGGGCACTTGTCAGGTCATCCTGACAACACCCATGTCATCACGCGTGTAAGCGTGTGATCAGTAGCAGTTTCTGCAGCCACGTCCCTAGCACTGAGGGGAGATTCAGGTAACTCCTGAATGGAGAGAATATTGATAGCAGGAGCAGGGTCTGCTTCCACCTGTTTAAGAGGTAATCTGCTGAGGCCATCAGCATGGCCCATTTCTTTTCCAGGTTTGTGAATCAATGTATAGTCATATGCTGACAGGAAAATGGACCATCTCAGCATACGAGGAGAAATGATATGTGGAGTCTGTCTGTTAGTGGTAAACAACCCCAACAGAGGCTTATGGTCAGTATACACTGTAAAATGGCGGCCATACAAGAAATCATGAAATTTCTTGATGCCAGCCACAACAGCCAATGCCTCCCTGTCAATTTGAGCGTAGTTACGCTCAGCAGAAGACAGGGTCCTAGAATAATAGACCACAGGGACCTGTGTCCCATCAGCCATTAAGTGACTCAGTACAGCACCCACCCCCTATGGAGATGCGTCACAGGCAATGCACACAGGTAGCTGTTCATTGAAGTGAGCTAGCACTGCATTAGAAGTAAGTAAGGCTTTAACCTAATTGAAACTAGCTTCATGGGCTTTGGTCCATTGCCAACAGGCTTGTTTGTCTAATAGCCTGTGCAAGGATTCAGCTATAGCAGCTTTATGTGGTAGGAATGCATGGTAGAAATTTAACAGGCCCAAAAAAGCTTGTAGCTCGCCCTTAGACTTAGGCCTAGGGGCCTGCTGAATAGCTCTCAGTTTAGCCTCACAAGGGTGAATGCCTTGGGCATCTATCCTGAATCCCAGAAAATCAGCAGAACTGATTCCTATCTTACACTAGTCCTTCTTTAACTTAAGACCAGCTCTTCTGAACCGAAGCAAAACAGCCCTTAATCTCTCAGCCAAATTTTGAGAGGATGCCCCAGCAATGAGGACATCATCAAAATAAGGGCAGACTCCTGGAATACCCCTCAAAGTGTTTTCCATGACGCTTTGGAAAATGCCCGGAGCTACATTCACTCCAAATTGCAACCTCTTCACTCTAATGGCCCCTCTATGGGTTACAATTGTCTGAGCCTCAGCAGCAGCCTCACCAACAGGCAACTGTTGATAAGCCTGTGCCAGGTCTAGCTTAGCAAAAATGCGCCCCTCCTTGAGAGAAGCCAGGATGTGGCTCACCACAGGTACTGGATAGGCGTGTTGTTGTAGTGCCTTGTTTAATGTACACTTGTAATCTGCATATATACGTATATCCCCATTGGCCTTTAGAGGCGTAACTATGGGGGTTTCCTATGGACTAGAATCCACAGGTTCTAAGATTCCCTGTTGGAGCAATTTGTCCAGTTCAGCATCAATCTTACCCTTGAGAGCAAAGGGTACTCTCCTAGGCTTAACCCTGATGGGTGTTACAGAAGGATCTAATTTTAATGAAACAGGATGCCCTTTATAAGATCCAAGCTCAGAGCTGAACACATCTGCAAACTCTTTGCAGATGTCTGCCAGGCTTCCCGTTTGCAAATTGTGAACCCCTGTCACCTGAATTCCCAGAGCATCGAACCACTCAAGTCCAATAAGACTTGTTCATTCACCCCCAACAACCAACACATCTAATGGACCTTCAAAATCCTTATACTGTACATTAAGGGTGGCCTCCCCCTTAACACACACTTTAGAATTCTGAAAGTCTGTGAGTATGACATTGGATGGCCTGAGTGTGACTCGAAGGCCATTGCTACTGCAAATTTTTCTGAATGTGTTGAGGGAAATAATGGAAAGTGCTGACCCCATGTCCAATTCCATAGATACAGGAACCCCTTGCAGCCTTACTTTAAGAGACAGCTTCTTCTTTAAGGGTTTATGTGTGCCTAACCTTAAAATGTTTCTGTGCGTTGCGCAGAACCCTACCCTATTTTGGCTGGGGACGTTGGTATCTTTCAGATGCAATTCTTCTTTAGGTTGTGCCTTTTGACGGCCCAAACAGATGGATGCGATGTGACCTTGCTTCCCGCATGCTCTGCAAATGGCTGAACGGAACCAGCACTCCACTCTTTTGTGGCGTCCTCCACACCCAAAGCAATGAAGAGTTGCTGGGGCCTTGTCTGGATGTTCCTTCTGTCTCCTTATGGCTGCCTGGTAAAGCTTATCCACCTCTTCTTCAGGATCTGCCTCCGAATCTTCCCGCACATTCTCCTTGTGGACGGTTGTAGTCTCTGGAGGGCTTCTAGTGGGCCGCAAGTTCTTTACCGCTCTGCCTGCTGCTTCCTCTGCTGTAACCTCTCGCAGAGCATCTTGGAAAGAGACATCTTCTTTCGCAAAAAGCTTCTGCTGAACATCTCTGTTCCTTAATCCGCAAACAAATCGATCGTGCAGTCTTTCTTCTAAATCTTTAAACTCGCACGGTTTAGCTGCTCTTCTCAAAGCCGCGATAAAGTCTTTTGCAGATTCCCCTGCTCTTTGATCCCTTTGTTCAAATGTATGTCTCCAAGCAATGACAGACTGTTTTGGTTGGAAGTGGTCTTTCAGAAGTTTCTTTAAAACTGCATACGAAACAGCTTCTAGAGAGGCAGGGGATACTAGATTTTCTGCAATCTCAAAGGCGTCCTGCCCACAAACACACAACATTGTGGCAGCCTTCAATCCATCTTCCCTTATCTGGTTAACTCAGAAGTAAGTCTCCACCCTTGCAACGTAGGACTCCCATTTCTCCGAGTGGGAGACATCGAACTCAGATAAGCGACCGATCTTTGCTATTCTTTTCAAGGGAAGGGGTCTTTCAGCTGAACTCACCCTCCAGCGACACTTTACTGGCAGGATAGAACGCTGACTTTAACGCCATCTTCCCTCTTCAGGACTTCTTAGGGTGAGTCCTCAAAGCTCTTTTCTTTTTTCTGTTAGCTTGTAAGGAATCCCATCCTCGTCGCCAGTGTTAAGTCCTCGCAGGAATGGTGAATGAGGAGAACACATGTTGTTCAAACAGCTCTTTATTCCTTCTCAGTCACAACTCCGAACAAGAGCAGAGGCACGCAGGCCTTCTTTTATACCCCCAGATCCCCGGACAACATGGCGGCCGAGCACCGGCACTTGTCCCGCCTTGCGCATGCGCGCAAGGCTGGCGCCACTCAGTCTGGTCCTGAGCAGCTTTTGCAAGCCCCGGACCATTGCAACGTCCCGAGCCTACTTTTGCAGGCTCAAGACACAACACCGGCCATGTCTTATCATCTCTTATTACAAACAGCCTTGGTTCTCACCCTTATACAGTATTGTTTTGTCTAATTAATCTCCCATGCACATTCCTCCCCCTCCCTCCCCCCCCAGTATCATCTAATTCTAACTCTAAGAGTAAAACATAAAGTAAAGGAAAATGGCTGCATCTCCATATGTTGTCAAAGCAAGAACATCCGATGTAAGCAGCGTTGACAAGTGTAACATTAGTCAAAGACTAAATGTGAGTTGACTCATCCATTGACAATTGTCTTCCCTTCAGGGAACGTTCATTCTCCAAGATTTCTATTCAGTTCTTCATGATCCCAAGCAATGGGAGAGGCCTGAAGAATTCAATCCAAATCATTTTTTAGACAAGGATGGAAATTTTATGAAGAGAGAAGAATTTATGCCATTTGGAGCAGGTAAACTCTGAATCATTTTCCTAGTGGTTAGGGACTGGCTAGAATGGGATGGGATGGGATGGGATGGGATGGGATGGAATGGAATGGAATGGGATGGGATGGGATGGAATGGAATGGAATGGAATGGAATGGAATAGAATAGAATAGAATAGAATAGAATAGAATAGAATAGAATAGAATAGAATAGAAATAAGAACAGAATAGCACAGAACAGAACAGAGAAATAGGAATAGAATAGAATAGATTATAGAATATAGAAATAACAGAATAGAACAGAATAGAGAAATAGAATATAGTACAATATAGAAATAAGAACAGAATAGAATAGAATATAGAAATTAGAATAGAATAGAATAGAATAGAATAGAATAGAATAGAATAGAATTCTTTATTAGCCAAATGTGACTGGACACACAAGGAATTTGTCTCCAATGCATAAGCTCTCAGTGATAAATAATGATCCTAGTCATTGTAAAAAATATATTCATCATAAATCATAAGATACAACACTTAGCGATAGTCATAGGATACTAAATAAGCAAACTACATAAATCATACTAGGATACTAAATAAAACAATATCAATCATAAGATACAAGCAACAAAGTTAAGAAAGAAAGAGGATTGAAGAGAAAATGGTGGTACATCCTTGATGGGGCCTCCAGCAGTTTTGAAAGCAAATAAATAAATCTGGGAGCAGGTTTGGATCGCTTCCTTTTGTGCTCTGTTGAAATCCAGTTTCTGACCTCTCTTTTAGAGCAGATGAGATCTCTGGCAATGCCCTTCTCTGTCAGAAAGAGGATCTTCCAACAAAAAGGGTCTAGAGCAGGGATCCCCAACACCAGTGGTGGGATTCAGCCGGTTCACACTAGTTCAGTAGAAATGGTAGCTAAATTTTGTTGAGTTCAGAGAACCGGCTGAATCCCACCACTGGAAGTCCGTTCTAGGCCTCGGAGGCCTGAAGGACATCTTCCAGGCCTAGAACAGCCCACAGGAAGTGCATGGATGTCACTTCCAGAAGGCCATTCTAGGCCTCAGAGGCCCAGGCCTGCATCCACCCAGAGAACCGGATGTTCAGATATTTGAATCCCACCACTGCTAAACACCCAGTCTGCGACCCAGTGCTGGGCTGCAGAACTGGGCTGCAGAAGTGGTGGGCGAGGCGTGCATGAGTATGTGCATGACAGTGCATTCGTGAGGACGGCGCACGCACATACACAAAACCATCCCTTTCCCCCGCTCCGCCTCCGCCAGGCCACCGAGCAGGAAAGGTTGCAGAGCCTTGGCCTAGAGCAGGGCTGTCAAACTGCCAGGGGTGTCAAGTTGCATCATACGGAGGCCGCGCCCACCCCAGCTCCGGCAATGCAAAAAAAAGTCACAATACGTTGCGACACATCACGTGACGTGGCGAGTTTGACACCCCTGGTCTAGAGCAAGCTTGCCCAACTTGTGGCCCCCCCGGGCTGGGGAGCTACTAATGCAGCCCCACAAAATTGTAATATTTTTTTTTTAAAAAAAATAGTTTGTTATTTATGTACATTGCAGGAAGTCCTCGTCTTGCAACTGCAGTTGAGCCCAACATTTCTGTGGCTAAGCAAGACATTTGTTAAGTGAATTTTGCCCCGTTTTACGACCTTTCTTGCCACTAATGTAGTAAAATGAACAAATGCTAGAATAATGATTTGTCTGCATAATTGCTAGAATAATGATGTAATGCATAATCACTGGGAAAATTCACTGGGAAAGTTCTGTGTCAGTAATACATGACTAACCAAATGCGCATTGCACATAGATACTTTGTATGTAGCAAAACCTACCATTGTATGCCCGTGAGAAACGATCCTAATGTATTACAGTGTATTACCATGTGTAGTCCTTTGTTCCTAAAAGAAGGGAAGTATAAAAACTGAAGACTAATCCCACCCTCCTTGTTCAGAATTGCCTGTCTCCATTATGCTTCTGAACCTGCGCAATAAACTTCTCTGCTAAACCCCTCTGGAATTCGTAAGAGTTCTTTCGTTTTCCACAAGAATTTTGGCACCTCCAGATGGGACTCTTATGAAGAGGCCATTGTCCTGCCAGACGGACTGCCCTGGGGGAAACCCCTCTCCTAACGGCGATATCTCCAAGCCGGCTCTGTGGCCTTTGACTACGGGGGGACCTCGACGGAAAGGGAGGGAGCTTACCACCAGCAATGCATTCCAGTCAAGGATCCACTGAGGGGAGCAGACAGGTCTTTTAATCCACAGAAGGGTCTGGAACGCCTGCAGGCAAGTATTATAAAAAGGGGTACCTGATCCCGTTTGGATCAGAAGAGGGGACTGATCAACCCCTAGGAAGACGAGGCGGTGTCCTTAAGTCTTCAATAGGTAGGATTGTGTGGGTGGGTAAACCATCGCATTTCCTGCCGAGTGACCATTGGAACATCCGTGACTCCAGGTCGGTGGTAGTGTTTTAAGGTAGAATGGGAGGAAAACAGACTAAGGAGGGAGTTGGTCAGATGCCACTCCAGTGTATGTTGGCAAACTTTAAAAAGGGTTTTTCTAGGGATTATGGACACTCAAGACCAAATCCAGCCATATTAAAAAGATTCTGTGAATCTGAATGGACCACCTTTGGCGTAGGGTGGCCCAAAGAGGGATCGGCGAATCCCGAACTCGTGGCACGGGTTCATCAAATTGTGACTGGAAGGGGTCATTGGGACCAATATCCCTACATAGACCAATGGCAGATTAATATTGCAGAAAAGCCTAGATGGTTAGCAAAGTGTCAAATAGAATGTGCTAAGATATATTTGGCAAGCCAAAAAGACAAACCTCAGACAAAAGCTAAGATTCTGAGCCAGGAGAAGAAGGGGGAATTCATCAGCAAAACCCCCCCTTAGAGGCCCCTCTGGTTGAAAGGGATGAAGTCCACCTTAAACCAGAAGCCGAAGTGGAGAAGGAGATTAAAAAAGAACAGAGTGCTCAAAAGCAAACACAGGACTTGGATGAAGATTAAAGGGAAACACCAGTCTCTAGCCGGACCAGGAAAAAAAACACTAAACCAAAGATAGAAGAAACAATAGCCCCTTTAAGAGAAGTTTTGGTCCCTGGACCAGACAACTGCAATGTCCCAATGCTCCAATATGTTCCCTTTACAACTACTGATCTACTCAATTGGCGTCAGCAATACGGACCATTTTCAGAAAAGCCTCAAGAAATAATAGATCTATTTTCTACTATTATCCAGACGCATAATCCCACGTGGGATGATATGCAGCAACTTATTTCTACCTTACTAGATATGGACGGAAGGGAGAAATATAAGTTAGCTAAATTAAAAGTACTTGCCAGAAGACATCCAGAGGGAGGAGCAAATTACCAAGCGGACAGAAAAACTTCAGCAGTTGAAGAGAGGCCAGGCTGGGAGGCAAATAATTCACAGCATCATATATTGTTGCAAAATTATTGGCTTTTATGCTTAGAAGCTCTGAGGGAAGCAGCAATCCATCCAGTTAATTATGCTGCAGTAACTAGTATTTGGCAAGAAAAAAATGAAACACCAACTGCTTTTCTCAGCCGACTGATAGAAGCTTATAAAATAAATACTGGTCTTGATATGGAGTTGACACAAAACCGCCCACTCCTAATTGAAAGATTTATTACCCAAAGTGCTCCAGACATAAAGAGAAAGTTACAACGCACAGAGGGGGCCTTAGGGAAAAATATTGCAGAGATTATGGAAATTGCTCAGAAGGTTTTCTGTAATCGTGATAAGGAAGAAGAACATAAATCAGATCAAAAGGAAATAAAAAAGGCTGAAATGTTAGCAATAGCCTTAGGAAGAATGCACATCGGACCAAACCAATGTGCCATCTGTAAGCAACAAGGACACTGTCAAAGGGAGTGCCCCCAGAGGAAAGACCAACCAAGAGGGTAATCTCGCCAGTATGCAAGGGGACGAAGAAGAGGATTTAGAGGGAATTTCCAAAGAAGTTTTAGGGGAAGCTTCAGGGGAAGAGGGCGTCCAGCCTATCCCAATCAGGCAGAACAAAGAGAAGAAAACTTGATTGGCTTAGCTGACATGGAATGGGGAGACTGAAGGGAACAGGGTTCTATGGTCCCACCCCCAGAGCCCATTGTTAACATACGGGTGGGATGACAGACTGTCCCAATGTTAGTTGACACGGGAGCTACCAGATCTGTCCTAAATAAATTTATTGGCAAACCATCAAACCAGACCATCCAAATTCAGGGTGTGTCAGGAGAAATTCAATATAGACCACTCCTGGAACCCCTAACATGCCAAGTGGGACAATGAATCATTAAACATCAATTTTTATATGCTCCTGATTGTCCAGTACCGTTATTAGGAAGAGACTTATTAACCAAATTGAGGGCCACAATATCCTTTGACAAACAATTAATCCAAGTGCGCCACCCAGTGGAAGAAACATGGCGCATCATGTTAGTAACTGAAGAACAATCAGAAAGCTCTACCTGGCAGCAATTTAATGTTCCACTTCTATGGGCAGAGGATAACCCCCCTGGATTTGCAAAATATGCCACGCCTGTTATGGTAGAACTAAAACCACAAGCATATCCTGTTAGAGTGCCTCAAAGATATTGTACTTCAGAGGCTGCTATGGCCATTCAAGAATTAATCCAAAAATACTTGATGGCAAAAATCATTAAAAAAATTCAGTCACCCTGGAATACTGCAATTCTACCTGTTCGTAAGCCAGACGGACAGTGGAGATTGACACAGGACTTGCACCCCATCAATAAACTAACCTTGATCCTACACGCAACTGTTCCTAATCCATATATTCTTTTAAGCACAATACCTGTATCTGCTAAATGGTTTTCAGTTGTGGACTTAAAAGATGCATTTTTCACCATCCCCTTACACGAAAATTGCCAGCAGATTTTTGCATTTGAATGGACTAATCCTAAGACACAAGTTAGGACTCAATATACCTGGACTAGGCTACCATAAGGCTTTAAAAATTCACCCACATGTTTTGGTCAAGCTTTAGCCCAAGATCTTGCATTTTTAAA